ATGTGCAGTCACATGGGAAGCCAGTCATTTGTAGCATCCAACCATGCCATGAAGTTATTTTTAGCACATCTCTGCTTCCCTGGATTTCTGATTAGTTACAGAGAGTTGGTAAAAACACCTCACTGCATGATCAGAAGCTTCAGAGAATATACAGGAAATATGAGTTGCCTGTTGCTTTCATCATGCCTACCTTCTGCCCACATGCCTGTGTGTACACCGCAGAAAGTTGACCACTGGCAACTATAGGAAAAACGGTCATAGACAAGCCACTGACTCAAATGATAAGTGAACAGGACCCTAGTTTTGATATTTTAGCACCGTGGACTGCAGTGGCACCTAAACCCCAGTGTGGAACTGTGATTTGTTGGCGGGGAAATACCCAATTTGTTGCTCCAACTAAAAGTCTCTTTTCTGGCACATTTCTTATTGATGGGCATGAAATATTGTGTAGGGCTGGAGGATGGCAGCTAGCTGTTTAGGCCCAAGGGCCACATTCACCAATAGCCAACCCTTGAGGGGCTGCACATGAGTGTGTGTGTGTGTGTCTGAAAGTGGCCACTCTGCATATTCTCTGTCTGTCTGTCTGTCTGTCTGTCTGTCTTTCTGTCTCACTCACATGCACACACGTACAGGCACATAGCTCTTCCTCCTCAGTTGATCGGATGATCTCTGTTCATCAAATGATCACTCAGATGATTAGGAAGGGGGTGATTTTCATCCTCTTCAAGATATGGGGCTCCACTCACCCCAGAATTTTGACTATTTTTATTTTTTCAGCAACCACCAAAATTGGTGGGTTCTAGGGAGTGGATAGTTTTGCTTGGTGGACTGAATCACATCCCCAAACTGGGGGTTGACCTGGTGTAGAGGATATTTTGGTAGTGGTGGGGAAATCACCGTTCAGTACTAATCCTGACCTGAACCTCTGAATTCCCAGCCCCAGTTCTTCATTAAAGCAAGGACCCCCAATGATATATTGATTTTGAGATCACTGTTTGGAGGAAGCCAGTGGTATCAGTGATTTAACCAAATGAGATATATCTTTACAAACTGAGGCATGTGGCAACATTTAATGGAGACATTAATTTTTTTTCTTTTATTTTTCCCCCATTTGAAAATTTAACAAAAAGAAAGGAAAATACTAATATAAGTACGTTCCCCCCCCACCTAGCTTGCCTGTGTCCACTTACTTTAATCATTTCATCTTGCGCATATTTGGAAGCCTAACTGGCCATTCTTCTCCCCCCTTCCCAAATCCACAGGGGCAATTTGATGTGATTTGCCATAATATATAATGATTCCCGGCACATTGTGACTCATGGCTGTTCCCACAGAGAAGAGCCCCAGAAACCTTTTAAAAATGCCTATTCAAAAGGAAATGCAGCAATCTTTCAGCTGTTTATTGAGTCAGCAATAGGCAAATCCAAAACGGGTTGCGCCTCTGGGAACTAAAGCATATAACAAAAAGCAAACACCACCCACTGTTTTCTATTTGTACAAGCCTGAAGCATGGCTGGTGGAGGGAGGCAGGGGCTGGGGGTCTCTCCAGCAAAACCCGGCTCTGCTGAATGGTAACAGGTGCTTAGCTGAATCATTTGGCACTTGTAAAAATTGGTTCACAAATAATTTGAAAGTCATTATGGAAGACTTAAGACACAATGCGGGACTTTACTGCATTGTCCTTAAACAAGTACCGGAATCATGCTCATTATTGTTGGTCCAGCCTTCATTAAGATATATGTTGACTTTCTATTTTTTGCAAAACAAATAAGAAAATACCCTGGGAAGAGGGGCTGGTTGTTAAACCACTCTGAGAAATGTAGATCTGTGAGGGGAACAGAGGCCTTCTAACAACCCACAGCACCCTAAGCAAACTATGGCTCCCATAATTCTTTGTGGGAAGCCATGACTGTTTAATGTAGTCTCATAGTGCTTCAAATGTACGGTGGGAATGTGGTCTCAGATGAATAGAAAGGAATTTTAAACTGTGCTAAGATGTCTACCTCATCCTTCTCTTCTGAATCTATTTAAACTAGCCACGGTTGGGAATTCAGTGCCCTCATCTCAGATAATCAGATGGGAAATGCTTGCCACAAAGTTGCCAAGAAAAATTTGGTAGAGGGCATGGCTGGCTTTTTGATACGTGGTTACTTGTTGTTATACTTAAGCACTCCCTGGATGCCAGGAAGAGGCAACTACAACAAGAGTACAAACCTTCCTAGATTTAAACTGATTTTATTCCCATAGAAATAAATTGCTTGCCAGTTTTTGGTGGAGCGTTTCAGTTTTCCTGACGGCAGGCTCCCCCTGGTGGCCAGAGAGGACAGCCAACAGTTTTCCAGTTTGGATCTCAGCACCAGGTTTGATCCTGGTAGTGAAATGCTTGGAAGAGATCTCCTGGGATATCCCAGGGATCCAATGGGACAAGCTGCGTAGCAGACAAGCTATGTCAGTTGAAGGCCCCTTAAGTGCTACTGTTGTGACTTGCACTAAATGGTCTTCAGAAGGGTTATTAGAAAGGGGAAACAGCTGACAACCCTCTCTCTCCATTGTGTGGGCTAGCATTTACCCACTCAACCTAATATTTCCAGTATTACCAGTTAGTGGGCAGGTAACTCATCTGACAGGCTTATTACTTATCCCTGTGTCAAGGGATTTACCCCCCTAAATCAAGTGCTGAAGACTAAAGTTGCTGCAAAGTTTGAGCAAAGCTGGCACTTCATCAAAGATCTTAGCTGTTCTTGTACAGTGGAACTTTCATGTCTTTAACCTACCAAGAAGCACATAAATTACTTCATTGGACTTATCTTCTATATGGGAAGGTGTACAGCACACAGAATGAAATTAAAAATGAAAAGTGACCCGCTTAGAGCCACAATTCAACAGTGCTAAACATTCTGGCACTTTCCAAAACTTATGGACTTAAGCAGGCAGTTCTGCCTTGGATTTTGGCCTAAGCATTTATTGTGCGCCATTTGGATGCAAAAGTAAGTCTTGGAAGTTTTAATTTATTCATTTCATTTCATTTATTTAAAATACCCCCCCTACTCTTCAGCAAAAAAGAGGGCCACCTGGGCTGGTTTACAAATGTCACTGATAAGACATACCTCAAGCATACCTTCTAAAAGACATGACACAAAAGGAAAAGGTTTAAGGAGGGAGGAGGAAAAATGAACAAACTCAGGCATTCTTTGCCCCAGCCTTCCCCTTCAGAGGAAGTGCTCAAACTCTAAGCTGTTGTTCCGAGAACCTCTAGACTAGAGCATGCCACACCAGGTGCAGAAAGTGCCATCCTCATATAGTATCACCTCCTTGGCTCACATGCACATGACACAGTATAAGCAGTGGAGCTAACAGGCCATGAAATGTCCTACTAGACATTTGAAAACACTCACCTTTCCTGCAAGGGTTGTTAACCTGGTGTGCTCTGGAAGCTGTTGGACTCCAACTCCAGTGGCCCCAGCCAGGATGGCCAATGTTCAGAGGAGATGATGAGATATATAACACTCACTAGATCCAGGGGTTCCCTATCCCTGCTATAGTGCTTACATTTCCCCCTCTGTGTGGGGACCCCCCCCCCAGTTGAGGAGGACTTTTTTTGCATCTGGAAGTATACTCTGGTCCAGAAAAACTTGTGCCTTTATGCATCTGTTTTTCTTGAAGAAGCCACTAGACCTCTTGCTGTACTTTGTATTTGGGATCCAAAATCTGATGGCAAATATTGCACTGTGTAAGTATAGCAAATACGGCAGAGATTAATGGTGGAGGAGACACAGGTCATTGCTTGCATATGTTCAAGTGAGTGTAAGAACAGCTTTATCCCTCTGTTCTTTACTCAGCATGGTGCGCATGGTGCAAGTTCAGCTAATCCTGAAATATATGGCTATTTTTGAGAGAGTGGATAGAAAGCCACTGAAATGCAGAAGGATTAGCCTCCCAGAAACAGTAAATATGTGCATACATTCTGGTTTATACTAATGGAAAGGGAAGGAGGTCATGTCACCACATGCAATGGTATCAAAATTCCCAAGCCTTACACTGGCAAGACATACACTCTGTTCTTTCCCGGCAATCCAGGTCTCCATTCCTATCACATGGCTCATTTCCCCATCATTTCCCTTCTTCCCATTCTATGTGACCACGTAGCTCCCCTTTTCACTTTGTCTTAGTACATTCACTCCCAGCATTCCCTTTCAGGTTTTTTTTTAGTCTTGCTCCTTCTCCAAACTCTCCTGGTGGACAAGGATCAGTTGTCCTACACTAGTATCTACTGGCAATTCACCAATCCTCACCCTGTCCTGTCTCTGTGGGAGGAGGTGTATTTCCACTGTACTGGCTAGAAGGGTGCAATTGATCTCTAATGGGTCTAGAGAGAGAAGAGGTATTGGATTGTTACAGCTTTAGTTCTTGTTTCTCCCTAGCCAGCTTCTTGCATTTATTTAGCCCTGAAAAAAGCAAAACAGCACCACCAACAAAATCTCATACATTATTAGCAGCTTTGCTGTTCCTTTCTTGACAATGTCTATTAATCATCTGCACCACCATGTCGCTGTTGTTGTTGTTCATGATGATGAAGCAAGCTTGGGACTTCTGATCTATGCACTATGCTGGTATGCAATAATCCCATAGATTCAACAATCTCTGGGGCTGTGCCAGCACCTCTGTTTGCGCTGGGTTATGGCATACACTATTACATGTGCATCTGGTTTGCAGTTGGTCAGAGATTATGCATACCATTTGAATGTGTCATTCCTTTTTGCTCTGCCTATAGCAGCTCCCAGTCCCTGCCTGCGACGAACAGTGTGACCTAAGTGCCATGATCAGAAGCTAATTTGGCATGCCCTCTCCCTCATTTTGCACATGCCGAGATGATTTGCAGCAGCATGCATGCAGGGCCAGGGTCAGCGGCCAGCATAGTTGAGCACCAGCCAAGGCACATAGCTCAGCAGAGGGCAGTGGGAGTCATCTGGCTCATCTGCTTCTCCTACTTTACTTTTGCTGGCTGCTTGCTTGCTTGCTTAAGAACCTTATGCCTCAGACACAGAGGGAGTGACCAGTGACTCAGCAATGACATTGTGGAGGAGTAGGAGCACCCAAGTGAGTGGGTTGCTGCAATGGCAGTGAGGTGCTGTAGCACCAACCAGTGGCAATGTTGCTATGGAGAGGGGCCCTGCTGTGGGCATGGTGTCTAGAACCCCAGTTTAGCCATCACTGCATGTATTTATGGCCGATAGAGATGGTGGTACTGCTCCTGATAGCATTCATTACTTGGAAACAAAATGTCATCACAATAACCAGCTTCACTGTAGCTCAGACAGATATGTAGTTCTTCTTCTAAACTTCTGTTCTCCTATAAGATCAGCATTCTGGAACACTAGTCAGTGCATAAATCCATGAAAGGGCTATCCTTGTGTGCATGTTCATAACTCCAATATTTACTGGCTGGAGGAACATGAGGATATTCTAGGTGTGTAACTACAGCCAGTGAACTTTTTCTCAGTCCAGGAGCAACCCATTAGTGTGGAAAGGAAAGCCTGACACCCACTCTCTTATAATAATGTGTGAAGAAAGATGTGGACAATCAGCTATGGATTCAATCTTGAAAACATTGGCTCAAACAGAAATGATCTCACTATCAATGATGAGCGTGGAAAGGCACTGAGTACTAAGCTACCTAATATACCCCATTACATGCAGTAAGATCCAAATGGTCACTTTAGATAGGGAAATGCCCACTAGGAGTGGGTGATTTGTAGAAGAGAAGAGGCAGAAGGGGTGGTGCTTAGTCCACCATAGAGACATACACTATGCAACTTCCTTTCTGCTGTGTTTCAGATGCATTCAAGGTAAAACACACTAACACATTGAATCCCTTAGTGGAAAAGCCCCTGGTGGAGGAGAATTTGGAGGGGAAAGCAGAGGGTGATGGAGGGTTAAGCAAAGAAGCACCCCATCCCATTGACTTATCCACTGCAAATAAGCAAAAGTTGATTAGCTCTAGGAAAACAGCATTGGAGTGTAACATGTAGTTCTGCCCTTGGGTTCAGGCCTCCAGATGAGTACTTTCTTAAAGGGTAAAGCTGTGGTGCCTCTCCTTTTAAAAATTAACCACTGGTGGTGTGTAGCAGATGAGTCCAGTTACCTACAGTCCACAAACAATGGGACCCCTAAGGAAGCAGAAGTAAGTAGCTGACATGAGCACAGTGATCAAATGGATTGTTTCCCACTTGCAGAACAGCTGACATTTCATTAACAGCTGACATTTCATTAACAGCAATATCTACTTTGTTTGGCTCTCCCTGAGTCAGTTCTATCTTTATTCTATACTTGATTTATGCTTCTCACAATGATCCATCTCTATATATGATTTATGCCCTGGAGACCTCTCTATTTTGGGCAAATTTCACATTCCCCAAACTGTTTCAATTATGAGAATAGCTGTACTTTGAAGCTCCCCCATATAATTTCTGTTGGAAGGGAGTGCGAAGAATCACAAACTACTTTTCACACTAAAAATGCTGTGCTATAGATTAATACAGTATAATGCACCTTCCAGCTCCTCTGAGGCTGCAGATGCTGCTGTTACTGTTGCAATTACACAAGCATTGTGAGCGCCTCACAAGCCAACAATAGCGGCTACACAGTCCTGCTGGATTCCCTCCCGCGCTGCATCTCATTTTCATTTCCTGCAATGGGTGACCCAATTTATCCTACAGCTTAATTAAAAACAACAATAGCAGCACCTTCTTGTCTAGGAAGCTCAATTATTCGAAACTGAGTCATTTTACATGAACAATTCCAATACTACAGCCAGTACACTTTAGCTCTGGTATAAGCCTCTGGGGAATTGCTCATGTAACCAAATACTCCTACTGGTGCTCCCTTGCCTTCTCTTAGCATTCAGTCATGAACTCGCAATCTCCGTGAGCTGGCAGTTCTTTGCAAAGCCATCTGAGTAGCACACATCCTAAGGGCTGCTTTCTCTCTGCCAAAGAAATCTTAATGAAGGGAAACCACCATTAGTAGTTACATTCAATATGATGGATGTCATGGTGGAGGTGAGCAGCCAATTGCTGTTCTAATGCCCCAGGGTGTCATCCAAGATTGATTGGTAACAGTCACAGTTCAGCCCCTTCCTTGTAGCTGGTTCTAGTTTGGTAGGCATTTTATGCACAGCTTGGATGATACCTGTGATGGCAGGTGAATTGTCTGGGTTTTCAGGAGGGCAAGATTGAGCTCCAGGGTGTCTGTGCTCACAATTTATAAAAGAGAATAAAATGAGGTGATAGCATGTTCTCTCCCTCTCCCTCTCTCTGCCCACCTCTCTCCTTCAATGTGTCTTGGATATGCTTGTTTGTGATTGCCAGGGATTAGTGGGCACATTTGCAGGACCATGTTCAGGGCTACTTGTTGCCACCTGCAGACCCAATGTTTGGGACAAATGCCCCACTGCCTCTATATGCCTACTCCTAGAGCAACTGGAAATTCAGCTTCTTTTCTCCCTCCCTCCTTTTGATAATTCCTCCTAGGTTATTCTCTTTCCCAGTGAGGCTATTTTATCATGGCAAACACGTTCCCAGTGTGGACATTAATCAATGGCAAATTAGAATGGAATTGATATATGCATATGACATGCACATTAATTTTAAATGTGTTTATTGTAATTAGTGTCATTACAATGAATGCCAGTGGAATCAGCAAGTGATTAACCTCATTTATGATTGGTTACAGTTTGTTTTTTGTAAAGTTCAACTTTAAAATTAGCACATCAAAATGTCTCTGTGTTATTTAGGATAGTTACTGGAGTGAATGCATAACTATTTCAAAGTATATTAATAAATATTGACAGCTTGTCCAAATTTACTTTTTTTTAAAAGAAGAAGAAGAAGAAGAAGAAGAAGAAGAAGAAGAAGAAAGGCATTGCAGATGTTTCAACCATTTTCAAACACAAAGTGATATCTTGCACACCATGTGTATTGTTTACAGTGCATAGCATCCCTTGACCCTCACTACTTCCTACCAGAGCTTCTCAGCTCCATGTACATGAGTATTGACTTCATGAGCATTTCCAGGTTAAGGACCATGGAGAGCTCTCCACTTGTTTCCATGGAAAGAACTGTAATCACAGAATGTCATTAAAACTGTTTAAAAACAGAAGAAAACTCAAGCAAATATTTACTTGGACAAACAACGTGGAAGGAATTACTACAGGCTAACACAAATTAATAGTTATGTGTAAATGTTACCGATTACTACCTTCTGTTCATAATTTTAAAGGCTGTTTTAAAGGCTGTTTCCAGTATTAGTCCAACTCAGTGAAAATAATAGACATGGTTAATTGGGATGTGTGTGACTATAACATTTGTACAATAAAAAATGGGGCATTTATTCCATGCTCAGTGGCCTGGCTTAGTCTGTTTCCAATAACTCTGTCCGATATTTTAACGTATATGTTTGGTTTTTCGAACAATATAGAAGAACTATTCTATTGGCATGTTTTCATATTGTAATTGCAATGTCCAATATGATATTTTGTTTTGATGCTAATTATGTTACTTTAAATGCAGCATAGGAAACATGGCATGGCAGCAGTTGACACTGCCACAAACAGGGCTGGGTGGTGCAGGCATCATTGGTACCATGCCAAGGGCCCTGCAAAATCAGGCACCATCCCTGAAGTAATGAAACCTCAGTTTACACCTTCTTTTTTTTTAAAAAAAATCTGTGCCAAATATAGTTAGACAGGAACAGTGTTAAAAGCTGCCTTTATTTTTCTGGCATATTTGATACCAATGAATTTCTCCCAGTAATACATGTTTCAGGATGAGTATTTTCTGGCAAAAATGAAATAACAATGTTCTGTCTTCAAGAGAGGCTGGCGATTTCTTTATCTTGGGCTATTTCATCCCGCTTCCCATTTTTCTTACTCACACACTGGGAATCACCTTGCATCCCACTGTGAGCTAACAGTTAGGAATACATTTTGCTTACAGCATGTGGTAGACAAACCAGTTTGTTGGGGGAACATTACAGGGCTTACTGAAGATAACGGCCCTTCTAATTATGGGAGGTATTTGCACATAATGGCTGAACATCTAGACATCGATTACTAATAGCTTGTTAAATGCGCAAGGACGCCACACATTAATGGCCGTATTAAGCTGTGACAACGCAGTGATCATTTGAATTCATTTTTATACTGTTCTCCCCCACTGCCACCGCCACACACACACATTTATAAAAGGCTTCAAGCTTCTATCTCACCAGTTCTTCACCATCTCAAAAGCATTTATTCCAATTAGGCCTCATGAGGTAGAGTGAAGCTGTTACTTACTCCAGAAATGCAACAAGCACTGGTGTAACCTTTATTCAGGGCCTGTGGTGAATTGACAAAATATAATTTCCCTAAAGAGCTCAAGACAGGGGCAGCCGTCCTGGCAGTCTCCCGATGTCTTTGAACTCCAACTCTCAACAGTTCCAGCTAGTGTGGCCAATGGTCAGGGAGTTGTGGTGTAACAATGTCTGACATACAACAAATGAACAAGAGAATGGTGATGGAAAACTTAGGAAATGTTGAGTAATGGGACTCTGTAAAGGAGACAATTTAAATCTTAGAGCTCCAATGCAGACACACCTCAGGACTCCAGGAGCCACTTCCCTGTGTTAAGCATGTCTGAAAGTCTGTGCATTTGCTAAAATGACCACAGTATCTGCATACCACATTCAGTAGTCATCCCTTATGCAGAAATGTGCCAGGCTTGAGATGTAAGTGGTTGAGCTGGGGCGATATCCGTGCTAATGGTTAAAGGGACAATGCCAAGAGTAGAACCAAATAAGAAGTCAAAGTGGATGTTACTGGACAACAACTCCAATCATCCCTGACCTTTAGTCTTGCTGGATGGGGCTAATGAGAGCTAGAGTCCAACTGTATCTGAAGGGCACCATCTTGACTACTCCTGTTTTAAGAACTCTGGGTCTATAACAGTTCACACACTGAATGCAAACCATCAGCGTGATGCTCCTGCAAAGTACATGCTAGCATGCATACTGACTGAGGGTTGTAAGCATTCATAGAAATAGAATATCCAAGATTATATGGCACAGCAGGAATATCTTGTTTGAAAGCAAATACACAAAAACGAATGTGCACAAATTGATGGGAATCCGGAGATGAACAGAGGCAATGACAAAAGGGTTGAGTAGCATGTCATAGGAGGAAAAGTAAATGGAATTTGCTATAATTAGTTTGAAGAAAAGAGGATTAAAGGTTCACTTAATAATCTTCAAATATCTTAATGGTTGCTGAAAAGAAAGTAGGGAATAATTGTGTTCCTTTGCCACTGGGACAAGGACAAAGGAGAGTGAAGAGCAGAGTAGTGGTTAGGCAATCTGATCCTAACCAAATTTATATATTGTTTTTCCACTGGCTTTGATGGACCATGCCGCCCCAAGCTCTCCCAAATTCTCTTTAGCTTGCTGTTCTGTGTTGCTAAAACTCAATACCTCACTTCCCACTTTCCTGTCCAAGGAAGGTTCTTAAACCATCAAGGGCAAAGGTGGGAAACCTGTGGCTCTCCAGATGCTGGTGGACTGCAGCTTCCAGTATCTCTGACCATTGGCCATGTTAGCTGGTGCTAATAGGAGCTGAAGAACCGAAGAATTGATGCTTTTGAATTATGGTGCTGGAGGAGACTCTTGAGAGTCCCATGGACTGCAAGAAGATCAAACGTATCCATTCTTAAGGAAATCAGCCCTGAGCGCTCACTGGAAGGACAGATCGTGAAGCTGAGGCTCCAATACTTTAGCCACCTCATGAGAAGAGAAGACTCCCTGGAAAAGACCCTGATGCTGGGAAAGATGGAGGGCACAAGGAGAAGGGGACGACAGAGAATGAGATGGTTGGACAGTGTTCTCGAAGCTACAAACATGAGTCTGACCAAACTGCGGGAGGTAGTGGAAGATAGGAGTGCCTGGCGTGCTCTGGTCCATGGGGTCATGAAGAGTCAGACACGACTAAACGACTAAACAACAAATAGGAGCTGGAATACAACAACCACTGAAGGGCCACAGATTTGCCAGCCCTGCTCTAGCTGTGTAAATATGGAGGCAAGGCAAGTGTGGAGTCAAAGGGAACAGGGACCACAATGGGAGAGAATGCTTCAAAATGCTTCACAAACTATTGTGAATTTGGAGTGGAGAGACTCAGCTATGCCACAGACAGCATGTACTGCTTCCAATGTGGCCAGAGGTCATCCCTGAACTATAGGTATGTCTCAGAACCATGCACTGCTGCAAGAGACATTGGAGTGTGCCCTCACTTGGTACAGAGCTGACATGGCATAAGGCTTGAAACTGCATGTGCAACCTCCAATATGGCTGAACTTCATAGAAAGAAAAATAACTTCAGTTACATTCCACTGAAAATAAAAAGATCACAGAGGGCAAGTAAACATTTTCTCTAAATAGGTTACAAGTTATACTGAAATTAAATATATTTTACTGGACTGTCGGTTCATGCATAGCTTTTCCATTCTTAGATAAGGCCTTCCATTGTTTTTTTTTTACATTGCCACCTATTCTCCTGGTTCATTTTCTATTGGATATACTTTTTAGCCTTGTTTCACAGCTTCCTCTTTTGTGCCTAGTGCATTTTATTATATAACAAATCAATTACAACCTTTATCCCCAACAACTGTCTTATTTCCCCATGAGTTCATGAATGTTGAAAAACACCTCTCATTTTCAGCAGTTTTTGAATACACATTGTGAACATAATTCACATTGATTCAGCATAGTCATGCGCCTGCTTCTTGTGTTATTGCTTTTCTTTTTGCCCTCGGTGCCCTTGACCTCATTGGCTCTCACTGCTGTTTAGTCTGTTTGGCTGTGACAACTCAGTGATTTAGTTTATGGGTATCCTTGACACTATCAAATCATTAACATTGTGACATCACTGACAATATTCACATCACAGGGCTGCAGTCAGTTAGAAGGGCAAAGGAGGTGAGGGATAGCGAAGACAGAGTGCTGATGTGCTTATGTCTTGCTTTCAGGTTTCCCACTGGCATCTGGTTGGCCACTGTGAGAACAAGATGCTGGACTAGAAGGGCCATTGGCCTGATCCAGTACACTTCTCTGATATTCTTACGTTCTGGAGAACCTCTGCCAGTCATTCTGCATGATACTGGGCTAGATGAGCCAATAGTCTTACTCAGTATAAGGCAGCTTCCCATGTTCCCAATTTTGAGGACGATATTGAAATTAGTGGGTTTTGTTGTTGTTGTGGAATTAAAGTTTATTTAGCCTTCTGTGCTGCTATTCCTCCAGTGATTTTATAGTATCTTATATATGTGGATCTCAGGAGTTCCCTCATCCAGGCAGCTAAAACGGCATGATTTGCTTAGTTACTTTTGTCTGCAGAATTCCACATGCCTCTTAAATTGCTTTTCCATTTTCTTCTACAATATTGACATTTCCCATTCACATTGCTGATGAGCAAGGTACGGTTTATGTAAACAGATATATTAACCAATAAAAACATCCAATGGGATGGAGTGACAATCCATTTGGCCATTGATTATTGTGGACTTCACACAGCTGTAAAAATTATGCACCCTTCCTCAGTTTCTTCTAAACACTAAGCTATACATACCATTTATTTATTGCCAAGCTTGAGCTTGCCACAGCTGTCACACATTATTCCAAGCTAAATTGTCCTCTTTCTAAATGAAGTAAAGATATTGTGGGAAATTTTCCATGCAGGGATGTGGTTCTGAGCAGCCTTTAACATGCCATGGAATTCCCATCAAGCTTCTGCTCTGTATGTTTGGGCAGTACAAAAAAACAGCCTGGCAGGCACCAAGGTATCCCTAGTTTGG